ATTAAGGAAAGTTTTGTTCAGGTACACGTCTTCAATCTACGAGACCGACTTATGGACCGTCAATGGATCTACGGTCCGTAAGTCCCTTCCGTCAGTCAGGACTTAGAAAATATTTCAGCTTCCAAAAATCAGCTTCTCTGAAGCAAACGACGGACCAACAGTACGGACCGTATACGGTCCGTCAATCCCCTCCGTAGCTCCACACATAATCAAAAATCAGTGTCACTCTACGGATCAACAGTACGGTCCGTAGATCAATCTACGGACCGTCAATAGACGCCGTGGTTCCACACTTGGTCAGATTTCCCTGATTTGTCCTCTATGTCTTGCCTGCTGATCTACGGTCATAACCTACGGACCTTGAATGGACCTACGGTCCGTAGATCACCTCCGTGAATGCCTTTCTTCTGCATTTCTTTCAGCTGTCTCTACACTTCCGCACCTGAACGTCTTTCCTGCAAAACATGATAAAAACACATCAAAACCAATATAAAAAGGCCTTAGACACACACAACTTGTAAGTGAAACGTATTAGAAATACCGTAAACTCACGGTATATCAGTAATGACATATTTACGTACGAAAGAGTTTAAGTATCTCTGATTAAATAACTTTATTTGAACTTAGTTAGATATACATTGAGCTGATGTAGCTTTTAATGTATTGTAACAGAGAGCTGTTGGTATGGTAACAATTTTTTTAATAAGTTTTACACATAAAGACAACCATACACTGGTAAAGAAACATCAAAACACATAATACTATGATATAAATGAAAATACTATTTCTTATTGAGTTGAGTTTATAATTGTGAAAAGTGGAAAGTGGAGCAAATTGTATTTTGGGGAATGAGTAATGTTGTATCATTTAGCATTAACAATGATCACCAACATAAAGAACATGGAACATGTTAAAAAGATTGAATACTAAAGTTTGAAGAACCTAAAATAAATCCTTCCATTGTTTATATATAGAAAATAGGTAATATCAAATAACTAATGTTAAAATGTGGTTTCATTTCACATAATGAAATAGGTTGATAATATGTTTTAAAAAATGCTAAATTATTAAACCGTGAAATTGTCCATCATATGTATAGGTGTATTGTATCTCTCCATTTATACACAATCTTATTACCATCGATTTCAATCCAAAAGCTCAAAAGATCATTTGTATTCCGTGTAATTGTCAAAAATATAGTCATCATTATTAAATTGATTATAGTATTTTTAGTTAGTATAATTCTAAACCCTTATAAAACATAGTAATTGTAAATGAATAATGGAAACGTAGAGATTAAGATTAGAACTTCAAATGATTTCATTGTATTGGGTCTTTATATTAACTCTGATGCATTTTTATTAGAAAGTACACTTTGTAACAATACTTACTTCCATATGCTATAGAATACATTAATATAATAAGTAAAACCAGCAAATTAGTTAATTTAAATATAAAAATATGTTAATTCAACGAACGTATAGAATTATTACAGTTATACAAAGTTATACATAGTTAAAATAATACGTAGCTGTGAATGTTTTTGTACTTATATATGCAAATCTTTTAACAGTTTTTGTAACAAACACATAAAAAATTGCAGGATGTATATAAACATCCAAATATACAATTTATGTCAAATTAAATTCTGGGATACTTCTTTATATACTACATTTGTAGCTTGATTACTTATTTTCCCATCTTCATTGTACGTTAGTATTTTTAATCCCTTTCTATTTGTCACTCTGGAAAGAGCAACTTAAACCTGTCCACGTGTAAACACTGGGTTCTTCAGAAATAAGCCCACATGAGATAAAGATTGTCCTTGGCTCTTGTTGATTCTCATAGTAAATGAACAGTTGTTCTATGTTTCTAAATAATTTTAAAATCGTCTGAACAAGATTTTTAAATTAACCAAAAAGAAATAAAAAAAGAGTAATAAACTAAATAATTTATGTTTCTTTTTTTTTCTTCCTATAATTAAAATTTTGTTTTTTTTTTAATTTGAATTTTAAAATTTCCTCTTTAGTAATACAGTTTAAATGTAAAAGGCAAATTGTTAACTACTACTACTAATAATAATAATAATAATGATGATGATCATAATAATAGTAATAATAATAATATGTATTTTAAAATTTTAAAATGGATAAATGCAAACTCACAAAAAGAGGATATAACTAAAAATTAAATCACGTTTATTTACATCAGGAAATTTTTTTATCCAAAAAAAATATATTCATTTGTGTATAATTCAAAGGATAGGAAAATGCATTTTCCTTTTGATTTTGAAGGATGTAGAATTTTTAAGCTCATTTAAAATTACAATATATAATTAATAAAATTATAAATTCATTTCACAAAACTAAATAGCGTTGTATGCAAAACTAATGTTGGTGTCATTGTTCGTCAGCGCAAGCCATGGCGCCGAAAGGACGGTGTCTTCATGTACTTTAAAGATAATGCTGGTGTGATTGTGAACCCCAAGGGAGAAATGAAAGGGTCTGCGATGAGTGGCCCAATTGGTAAAGAATGAATTGATCCATAGCGCTCACGTTCACTCTAAAACCCTCAAACATGACGGTACACATTTCGATCCATTTAAAACCTAATTTATTAGTAAGAAAATCAGTTGAATTTGATTGATAGTAGTTTTATTTTGTAGATTATATATGCAGCTTCTAGTGAAATTAATTTTGTAGTTTCAGACAAAAATAATGTTGAATTTTGTAGTAATTGGATTTTTCAGTGAAAATAGTGGGATTTTATAGATTATATGCAGTTTGTGGCGAAATTGTGTAGTTTCAGCGGAAACAATTTAACTTTGTATATTTTATGCAATTTCTGAGTGAAAGCTTATAGTTTTGAGTAGAAGTAAGTGGATTTTATGTAGTCCTAGAGCAACTTTATAGTTTGAGTTGTAGTGATTGGATTTTATAGATTTTTTCCAGCTTCTAAGTGAAAGTTTATAGTTTAAGTTGAAATAATTGGCTTAAAAATAAAACTTTCATTTTAAGTTTATTAAAGTAAAAGAAAATTTATTAACTTTCCCTCCAATTTTTCATGCTATTAACTTTTCCCTCTAATTTTTCTACTACGATAAAATATTCCCTCCTATTAGTAGTAAGAAACTTTTTTTTAAAAAAAAAACCCTACTCCTACTTAAAGTCTAGAGTTATTTGTATATCGCCTCACGCCCTCAACACATTGCTCAAGCAAAGAAATTCATGGTAGCCATCTACATCCACAGGTAATCCTAAGGTTTTTATTTCATACAAACTTATGATCTTACTGAAACAAACCTTTGATCAGGTTAACTAATTTAAAAAGTATTGACTTACAGAACCATGTGAAGTTTCAAGGTTTCACAATTTAGTTCTTAATTTATATTTTCTTGTAGGTTTTACTGGATTCATCTCATCCTACACATATTTTGATTCCCAGGTATTCAAACAATTGTGACGATTTGTGATTTTATTAAATCACTTTGGGCTCAACAGAGGTTACTAGCGTGTCTCTTTGAGAGGATACTGGCGTCGCCTCTCTCAGAGTTACTGGATACTGGTCGTCGTCTCCCTTAGCATTTGAATCTGTGAAGGAATTTGTGAACGAGGTACAATAATTTCTCCTTCCTCTTTAGGGTTTTAATTTCAATAATTTTGAGTGCGTAGGGTTTTAGTTTCAATTTTCATTGAGTTACTGTACTGTGAACGAATCTGTGAAGAAATTACTGTAATTTTTTTCTTTTCTAGTTTTAGCATGCTCATAATCGATTTTCCTTGCTAGTTTCATAATCGATTGTTTTCTGCTTGTGTTCAAATCGTGGGGTTCACTATTTTTTTGCTTCTTTTATGTTTAGGAATTTTATGCGATGGTTTTGATCTTTTGAACTTTGCTCTTTTGTAGATTTTTAACGGTCTTTAACTAATGGATGGGATTTGTTAATGTTTAGATATTTGAAGAATGTTTTTTGTTAACTATGATATTACAAGGATGTGCTTTAAGTTTATAGTATAGTTCAAGGATGTTTTTAGCCAAAAACTCAGAAATTTACTTAGATAAGATCATTACAAAAAAGGATTGTGAGAAACTTTCTACTTGCTGACCATTATAATGTGTTATGTTCTGTGTCTAAAAGCTGCTTCTTTTCCTATATTAACCAACTAGATTCATTGGGATGGTCAAGTAAACTTGAAATTTAGTGCTTCTCCCATCATCTTTTTCTCCTCCCCCCCCTCCCCCCCTCCCCCCCGTATTTAATTGAAAGCAAAGAGGGTAGGATGATGTCTGTGTATGTGCCTTCATAAGCATACATGTTTCTCTTGTTAGAATGCCATCATTTTTGGGTTGGAAAAATTGATAATTTTCTGGGAAATGGACATGGATAAGTCAGAAGAGCCATTAGAGGAAGTTTTGAACTTTCATAGAAACTTCTTCACATGTTGTTGTGACATTTCTTGATGCCAAGCCCAAGCAAAGATCTCTAAGTGGTACAATAGTTATTTAAAATGACTCGACCTAGGAGAGGATTATTGGATATACTCTTATTGAGATTTCTCTTAAAGATTCAAGTCTGAACCAGACTATAAACAATTTCTTTGGACTATGATGTTTACAGAACTTCTATTGTTGTTTTTCTTTTAATGTTTGAACTGCCACAGAGTAACTAGGAAAATCATGTCTCTTTCCTATGGGGAAGTATCAAGCAGGATACCAAAATTCTGGTATTGTGTTGCTTCGACTCTTAAAGATATGTTTGTTTTGTTGAAGCAAGAATATATCTTCTTTTTTTATTTTCCTTCTGGAAAAATTGGCACACTTATGTATTCAATGAAATGTTAAGTTTTGTATTTTGTAAAGTATCAAGATAATCAATTTAATGTTTTTTTTCAGGCTAACATGATCAAGAAGACTGGAACTACTGTAGTTGGCAACAAATAAAAAGAAGTGGGTATGTTTAGAAAAAACTACAAGATCTTATTGGCATATATGCTTTCCATAAAAAGATTAGGAGTGGGGAAACATGTGCAGTTTGGAGTCTAATGTTGAAAACTAGGACTGAATATTTGTTGTTGAAATCCATTATTAACGTTATTCTTTTGATACTTCACAATGGTATCATCTGGGGGACTCTCTTGGTTATGATCCTCCAATCTAAAAAGGAAGTCTTTTGTGAGTGTCATTGATGTTTTTCCTATTCGGATATGGTTGATGTAGTGCTGGATTTGTAGGAACTAATTTTTTGTAGCATCTCATTGTTGCACCTATTTATCCTTGACTTGAATGTTATCCAAAGTTTGGCCACTAGGAAGCTAGGGGACCAATACTAGTCCAGTTGTCCGACCAGAAAGGCTTAATTCTCTAGATCATATATTGTTCTAGTTAATGGGTATCTAATTTCTATTATTATATAGTTCTAAATTTTCTTATGTCCATTTCTTGTGCAGAATTTTTAAGGAAATTGAGGTCAGGTATCGACTTCAACATGCTCAACTTTTGGATTGGTGATTTCATAAAGATTTATTGCAAATTTACTGGAGATTTTAATTCCATTTGAATTAGGAGTTAATTAGTTGGTGTGATGTTGAGATTATTACATTTTAGTTGGATCTCAATTTTACTTGAGATAAAAAAAGATAATTTGTTTTGACAATGTTTACTTTTACAGAAAACTTATTATATTGCTATTTTGTTCTTTGATTATAATATTAGAAAACATTTGCTTTATATGATATTTCTTGCTTATCATGAAGAAGATAGTTTTGAATGCATGGATTGGTTGTATGTATTTGTATAGTTTTGAATGCATGGATTGTTTGTATGTATTTGTGTCTTGAGAAAAACTATTTATAGATTTTTTTGGGATGTTTAAAGAAACTTGGTAGCGACATTAAAATATTAATATGACATTTAACAAAATATAAAATAATGTCACCAATTTTTATGACATTCAATAATAGCATTTGTTGACATTAACTAAAGTGTCAAAATTTGAATGTGACATTTTATAAATGTCACAAGTAAGTGTCTTGAAATTTGTTTTACCAACATTTAATCTAAATGTCAGAAAGTTTAAGTGATATTTCATAAATGTCGAAAAAATAAATGTCATATATCTCATATTGACATTTACTTAAATGTCAAAAATAAATGTCATATATTTCATACCGACATTTACGTAAATGTCAAAAATAAATGTCATATATCTCATACCAACATTTACCTAATTATTGAAAATAAATGTCAAATATCTCATACCGACATTTACCTAAATGTCGAAAATAAATGTCATATATCTCATACTCACATTTACCCTAAATGTCGAAAATAAATGTCATATGCTCATACTGACATTCACCTAAATGTCAAAAATAAATGTCATATATTTCTTATCGACATTCACATAAATGTCAAAAAATAAATGTCGTAATAATCTTACCAACATTTACATATATGTTGCAAAGTAAATGACGCAATTTTTTTTTAACATTTACCTAAATGTCACAAAATAAATGTCACGAATTCTTCCCGACAATTACCTAATGTCGAAAAAATCCCCGACACAAAAATTTACGACATTTGGTCGAAATGTAAAATAAATGTCGGTAAACAAATTTGTGACATTTAAACATCATAATACGACATTTAGAAAATGTCATTATATCTCCACTTTCTTGTAGTGAGTAATGTTATCTTTCAGTTTTCATTCTTTTAGTTTCAATTTTGCTAGACTTAGCTGGGGCATGTTCCAGCACTTCTAGTCAGTTAGAGACTATTTTCATACATAGTTAGATTCAGCTTAGTATTTGAGTTTGATATTTCTCTTGTATTAAACTCTCAGATTCCATATATTCAGTTTTAGTATATGGGTATTCCCCATTACTTCAGATTTACTTATGATTAGCTTCCGCATCAGTCATTGTTATTCTTAGTATGCTCATGTCATGCCAGCAGAGTTAGCTTGGGGTCACTTGTGAACCTAGGTCCCGTGTCCGCATCTCAGGGGTAGCTCGGGGTGTGACAAACCTGGTATTAGAGCACTAGGTTTTAGTGTCCTAGGATGTCTGAAAAGCCGCACTAGGTAGAGTCCTTTTCATGGGTGTGTAGTGGGCACCACATTTAATGAGATGGAGGATACAAAGTGTTTGAGGAAAAATCTTCATTTTCTTGTTACTTTTATCGTGTGTAAGGTATGATCTAATTCCGTTCTAACTCGACGTTCTATGTTTTTGATCATGCCTCCTCGTAGAGCTAATGCCAGGAATGCGAATGCCAAGAACGCAAACGCAGCTTCTCCAATCCCAGATCAAGAAGTTTCAAATGTAGAGTTCCGTAACGTCATTCAGTTGTTGGCTTAGAGTGTGGCCAACGAGAACAATTAGCGGGCTCCAGTTCCGGAAAATGCTAATGTTGGGTCAGCTGCAGCCAGAGTCCGAGATTTTGTTAGGATGAGTTCGCTAGAGTTCTTAGGATCGCAGATTAGTGAGGATCCCCAAAACTTCATTGATGAGGCGATGAAGATCTTTGAAGTGATGCAGCTAACTGGGAATGTTCGGGTTGAGTTAGCATCTTACCAACTTCAGGATGTAGCTCATATATGGTATACTCAGCGGAAGGAGAATAGGGGTAAAAATGCAACACCTATCACTTCAGATTGCTTTAATGAGACCTTTCTGGACAGGTTTTTCCCAAAAGAGCTAAGGGAGGCAAAAGCTCACGAATTTATGAACCTAAGACAAGGTAGCATGACAGTCCAAGAGTATGAGATCAAGTTTACCGAACTCTCTAGGTATGATCCTCTTATGGTTGCTGATTCCAGACTCAGATGAATAAGTTTCTATATAGAGTGTCAGACTTGGTAAAGACAGAGTGTAGAAATGCTATGTTGCTGGAAAATATGAGAATCTCTAGGTTCATGACTCATGCCCAGCAGGTTGAGGGTGATAAGGTTAGGGAACATGCTAAGGAGTACAAGAAGGATAGGACTGGAAATTATGAGTATTCTCAACAGAAGTCAGGTGGTGGAAATCGCTCGTAGGGTCAGCAAAAATTTTCAGCTCCAGCACCTTCATCAGCTAGTGTTCCGTCCTCTAAGTTCAGACAAGATAAAATAGGTAGGGCATCAAGATCTAAGTCTTAGGGGAGTGTTACAGGTATAAAAACCTACCTAACTTTTCCTAAGTGTGGTAAGAACTATCCGGACGAGTGCCTTGCAGGATAGGAAGGATGCTTTGGGTGTGGTCAGTCTGGTCACAGGTTGACGGATTGTCCTTCTAAACAGGGTCAAGGAGGCAATGCTAATCGAGCCCAGTCTACAACTTCAGCAGTGCTAGCAAGTCGCCCAACTCAGTAGGGTAATTCATATGGTACAGGTGGCGAACAATGCCAGAACAGGCTCTATGTTCTTCAGGCTCGCCAAGATCAGGAAGATTCTCCTGATGTAGTCACTGGTACGTTACGAGTCTTTGATCTCGATGTTTATGCTTTGGTAGATCTAGGGGCTACTCTTTCCTTTGAAACACCTTATATAGTAGTTAAGTTTAATGTTATTCCAGAAACTTTCTCAGAACCCTTCTAAGTCTCTACTCCAATCGGTGACCCAGTTATAGCTAGACGGTATACCAAAATTGCCCTGTCACAGTCTCTAAGAAATTCAACTCAGCAGATATTGTAGAGTGAGAAATGATAGACTTTGATGTCATTCTGGGCATGGATTGGTTACATTCCTGTTATGCCTCAGTCGATTGTAGAACTAGGATTGTTTGTTTCTAGTTTCTAGATGAACCAATCTTAGAATGGAAGGGTAGTATCTTAGTGCCTATGGGTCGATTCATTTCTTACCTTAAGGCCAGAAAGATGATCTTTAAGGGTTATCTCTATCATCTAGTTCGGGTTAAAGATTCAAGATCCAAAACCCCAACTCTTGAGTCAGTTCTAGTGGTTAATGAGTTTCCAGAAGTGTTTTCAGAAGATCTTCTCGGAGTTCCTCCCGAAAGGAAAATTGACTTTGGAATTGATCTCCTTCCAGATACCCAGCCTATTTCTATTCCTCCTTACAGGATGGATCCAGCTGAGCTTAAGGAATTGAAAGAGCAGTTGAAAGACCTTCCAGATAAGGGCATCATCAGACCTAGTACTTTGCCATGGGGTGCACCAATGTTGTTCGTGAAGAAGAAAGATGGTTCTCTCAGAATGTGCATTGACTATAGGCAGTTGAACAAGGTCACAATCAAGAATAAGTATCCCATCCCCAAGATTTATGACTTATTTGACCAACTTCAGGGTGCTAGTCATTTCTCAAAGATAGACCTGAAATCGGCTTATCATCAGCTAAAGCTCAGAGAGAGTGACATTCTGAAGATAGCCTTCAGAACTGGTATGGTCATTATGAATTTGTAGTTATGTCATTTGGCCTAATCAATGCTCCTGCAGCCTTTATGGATTTAATGAATAGAGTGTTCAAGCACTATTTTTATTTGTTTGTTATCGTCTTTATTGATGATATACTCATTTACTCTAGGAATGAGGAAGAATATGCCAGTCATTTGAGAGTTGTTCTGCAAACTCTCAAAGATCGCCAGTTATTCACCAAATTTAACAAGTGCGAGTTTTGGTTACAATCAGTTGCTTTCGTTGGGCATATAGTATCCAGTGAAGGGATCCGGGTGGATTCCCAGAAAATAGAAGCAGTGAAACAATGGCCCAAACCTACCTTTCCTGCATATATCAGAAGTTTCTTGGGTTTAGCGAGTTATTACAGAAGGTTCGTGGAAGGAGTTTTATCCATAGCCTCACCATTGACTAGGTTGACTCAGAAGATGATCAAGTTTCGGTGGTCAGATGATTGTAAGAAAAGCTTTGCAGAATTTAAAACTAGGTTGACTATAGCTCCTGTTTTGACTGTACCAGAGGGTTCAAATAGTTATGTGATTTATTATGATGCATCCAGAGTCAGACTAGGCTATGTGTTAATGCAGCGAGGTAAGGTTATAGCCTATGCTTCTAGACAGCTTAAGGTGCAGGAGAAGATTATCCGACTCATGACCTCGAGCTTGCAGTAGTGGTGTTTGCACTCAAGATTTGGAGACACTTCTTGTATGGTGTTCATGTAGATGTGTTCATTGACCATAAAAGCCTCCAGTATTTGTTCACCCAGAAAGAGTTGAATCTTCGCCAGAGAAGATGCCTTGATTTTCTCAAGGATTATGACTTGAGTGTGCATTACCATCTGGGTAAGGCAAATGTAGTAGCAGATGCCCTTAGCAGACTATCTATGGGTAGTGTAGCACATGTTGAGGAAGAAAGAAAAGAGCTAGCAAAGGATGTTCACAGGCGTGCTCATTTAGGAGTTCTTCTTATTAGCATATCAGATGGTGGTCTGACAGTTCAAAATGGATCAGATTCTTCATTAGTAGTGGAGGTTAAGGGAATGCAAGACAGTGATCCAATATTGCTTGAACTCAAGGGTGCAGTCCATTAACAAAGGGTAAAGGTATTCTCCTAAGGGGGGGATGGTGTGTTTCTCTATTAGGGTAGATTATGTGTTCCTAATGTGGGTGAGTTGAGACAACAGATTATTGCAGAAGCCCATAACTCCAGGTATTCTATTCATTTAGGCGCTACTAAGATGTACCGTGATCTGCGGGAAGTCTTTTGATGGAATGGCATGAAGAGGGATATAGCAGACTTTGTGGCTAAGTGCCCCAATTGTCAGCAAGTGAAGGTAG